CAGCCACACTATTTCCTTCTTATCAAGCCCCCTGCAGCTTCTCATTAATATTCCAGATATATGGCCTTGCACTCTGTATCATTGTCTATTAATGAGACAGATAATCATTCATTCAATTATCAGACCGTCAGCCCACGACCGTGCCCACCGGGTTAGCCTGGTTTCTCAGTCGCTGGGTAGGCTGGAACAGAGGGGTGCCAGTCAGGAGGTGAGGGTGATAGCAGGGATTACACCATATTAAAGCCTTTAATAAGACATACAGCTCAGGGGGGTTAATGCGGAGAGACCAGATACCAGTTTTTTTTGTGCTTACATAGAGAAACTTTTGAACAAGAAAAATTCCTGATTAAACAGGAGCAGCCAATACTTTTAAATTGTGATGTGACTTGTGTATTGACATGCTCAATGAATCCTTTCTCATCTGCAGGTTGACCCTGACCTCTGTTGGTCAGAAGCTGCTGAGAGATCAAATACATTGTTGATTCCTGCTGAGCAGCTCAAGATCTGTTCTTCTGCTGTGAGGACAACCACCTGGGCCACGACAATCCACTGAGGACAGTGATAAACATGTCTCTTAATAGACATACACACACGTTAGTATACATCAGAGCAACCCCCAAAGCAAGTGCACTCACTCTCCTTGAATGAACTTAACTTCTGTATGCACCGAGCTTTTGCTGTTAGCAGGAGGCTGGAAGACGCTGGTCCGAGAGGGTCAAATGAGAACGTGGAAAAGATAGGAGGTGAAATGTTAACAAAATCATAGAAAATCCTGAGTTTGATAAATTCCTGCATTTTAAATGAACAGAGGCGGCCGTGGCTGTGGGAGAGCTTTGTCGCCGGCCCATTTTCTCGGCACAAGGCGCGCAGTCCCGGGGTCAGCGAAGTTACGAAAGTAATTAAAGCAGCTTGATTCACCGCCTGCTGCAGAGAAAAGAAAGCAAACTGTCATTCTGATTTAGAAAAATAAATTACAATTTTAATAAAGGGGTGTGGGATGGGGGTGCTGCGCTGTCTGGGAGCTTGCTTGCCTGGATGGAGGAAGGCAGCAGGAGGCGGTGGTCTAAGGGTTTCTAGCTGCCTACTTATCAATAGTTGCAATTTTTTTAAACCACATCGGTATTACATTGCGGTGGCACAAGTGCCCTTAAAAAAAGAAAACCCAGGGAACATTAACATACTGATTTCATGCACGTGGCAAAGGGTCTGTGCCAATATCAGAGAGGACTCAGCACTCCCATTGTCTGCTAGAACTCTGGTCTCCTCTGATATGAAAATTCAATTATATTATAACTAGATCTCGCGCTGCGTTTTGACAGTCGACGGTAGCGTTTTGCCAGCTGCATCAGTGTGGGGGACCAGAGGGTCCTGATAGCGCTGAGGCAGCCTTTCAGCCATTGACATGTTTTCGGGGGACAAGATTACTTAAATGTGACGCATTTAAGGGAGGCGAGTTAATCTAATGCATTGCCATTATCTTTCTCAGGTAATTCCAATACCACCCCCAATCTGTGTGTTTACACACATGCACATCCTCTCATATTCCCACTTACACTACGCTGCCATCAGATTCACCGCTGTCTCTCTGCTCAGCACAATGTGTGTTTATTTATTTTTTTATCTAGTCATTACCTGTAAATAAACAGGAAGTTTGGGCTGACGGGAATCATTTTCTCAACGGCAAGCACTTTTTACGTGACAGCTTTCATGGCTCTCTGAGAACTTGTGTTAGCCTATTCATTCTGAATGCCCTGAGAAGTGAGTTAAGTTGTCATTGAATTGCTTACATTCATTAATTATTTTGCACAAGAGGTGCGGAGTGTGGAACTGTACCTTGTTAAAATGCATTGATTTGTTAAAATACATTCCTTCACTCATTTAACTTATGCCTTCCGAGATGTATTTGTAAGAAAATGTAGAACTCAAAAGACTCAAAAATGACTTCAAAGAGCAAACTCCCTGAACTTGACTTTTGTAGTTCTCCTGTCATTGGCAATGATTAGATGTTGTACTTACGGTTATGTTCAGGTCAACTTTAGGCCTTAAAGGGATATTTCACCTTAAAGAAGATATTTTGTCCATACAATGAAAGTCAAATTGGTCAGTTGTCATTTGGACCCCCACTAACTTCAACTGCATGGCAAAAGCCGTTTTTCTATCAGTTTATTCTTTAAATTTTTTTTATTAAATATTACATTGAATAAAGAAAGTAATACAGATTTGGGCCGACATGAGGCAAATGATAACAGTTTTCATTTTTGGGTGACCTATCACTTTAAGATGTGATGGTGATATTTGAATGTACGGATATATTGTAGATTAAGCTAGAGAGCACAGAGTGAGTTGGAGAGTGTAGATATAGGAATCTTGATGGAGTTTCTTCCTTTCACTGGACTTTAGTCCTCATTGTGTGAGAGAGGCCAAGGCACAGGAAACGCCCCCCTCTTCAGCCCACAGCCCTGAGACCTGGGAGTGGACCCCCCATTAACCCAGCACACAGCACAAACATACCTGCCTCCCCTCATTAGGCCGTGTTGAAGTACATGCTCGCCCAAAAGAAGAATAGAAATCCTAATTAGTATTCTCTGCAGGGCCACAACCATTAGCACTTAATTAGCACAGAGAGCACCCCTCTTTCCGGGTGTGGGGTGGGAAGGGGGCTTATGTTGAGTACAATATTTCTGCATATTCGCTGTATGCCTTGGCCATGAAGAGTTTGCTTTTGTTTTGCACATGTGTGCTTTTGATTGTACGCACATTTCTGCGCTGTGCTGTGTTTCAGTGGCTTCATGGTTGTACATGGTCCGTTGAGTAAAACGGTTGCCTTTTGTTTCATTGGCCTGAAGATATGACAGTTAAGGATCACGCCTGGATTTACTTTCATTCATTTTCATGGTCTAAAACGTAAGCAAAAATACACTGCAATGAATGTAACTGGGTCAGTGACTGTCTTTTTTTGTCCAATCTATTAATTTATTTTGAAATATAATTATAATGCAATTCATATACACGGTGAATTTTAATATATCTGTTTTATGAATTTTAATATAAATTTTTATATAAACTTTTACAAAGTTTTTTAACAATAGAAGTATGCTTTTAACAAAGCTTATTTGCTGCTTATTAATATTTGACAATTTTGTCCACAAAATCCAAGTCATACAGGAAAAAACATACAGGAAAAAAAGGTCTATAAGTCTCGTAAAATATCAGATAATTGTCCTTTTTAATCACAAGGCAAATTTAGTTCAGGTTGCAAAATAAAGTCAGGTGCAAAATGTAGACACATGCAAAATGCGCTACAATTACTCCAAAAATATGATATTTACGAATTATTAATTATCCATGTGTAGACAGTGCACAGAATAGAGATGCTGGGGATTTTATTCTCCTTCTCTATTCCTCCTTCAACTGCTTTCAGTCCTCGGCTGAGCACAGGGCGGTGCCACCTTTCACTTCCTGAAACTTTAGAGGTGGAGATACATCATTTGACAATTTGGCCTGAATGAGGCGGCCAGCAGATTGAATGTTTCTTCCCACCAGGCTTCTCCATCCAGCCCAGCGTGGAGGGGGTTGGACGAGTAGGATTGGGTGTAATGTGCAGAGTAAAATTAGCACTTTGATGGCAGGTAATGGTTTGAGATGAGTGCCACTGACGTAGATTTCCAGGAAGATCTCGCTTTCTTCCTGCAGCTTGCTCTCTCTTCCCCTACACACCTGTAAGATCAGACCGGGCCTCTGCTGTCAAGGCTGTAATTTGTCCCCTGCAGCTTGCTCTCTCTTCCCCTACACACCTGTAAGATCAGACCGGGCCGGCCTCTGCTGTCAAGGCTGTAATTTGTCACTGATCAATATAATTATGCAATTCTAGTGGCCTCCTCTCGCTCAGATGGACAGTTTTCCGGGTGACTAATCCCATAGTTAAAACCCTGGGAAGTCACACAGACCAGATGCAGAGCACACCTCACAGCAGTCCAAATTAAGTTCCTTAAAAAGTATTGATTATAGCATAATTACTGGAAAACAAATGCATAATAAGTGCCAGCAGTTAAACTCTGTTTTGACATAGTGTAACAATGTAATTTTAGTGAAACAAAACTGCCCCCTGTGGCATGTATGGTAATGGTGCGGATAACAGCTGTCTGTGGTCAGTAGGGTGTGAATGTGATGATGACCTTTAGATGGGGCTAAGGGTGGGGTCACAGTAGTAGTGATTTCTCACCTTTTCTTAATGAATTAGTCATTATTCCTCTGGGAAGCTGAATTATGCCACTATGCATAGAAAACATAAATGCAACAGAAATTCTTTACCTCACCTATACATATCTAATTATGAAATCAAATTAGCCTATAAGAATTTCCTCTATGTTCATGTAAGACATCATTTGACCCAGGTTGCATATTGACAGATGGGTGTCGAGGGCTGTGTTAAATGTCTTTATTAATCTGTGCCTGTCATTTTGACAAAGATGGAAATAAAACACCACTTACTGTCAGGAGCCATCAAGACAATCAGAACAACAATTAAAGGCTGAAATGGATGAGCACAGAAAGGTCGTCATTTATATGGCAATTTAGGAACATGTTTGCATTGCTTCGATTTGGCCCGTTCACTGTTCAACCATTGCAAAATGCTTTTTTTCTTTCTTCCAATAATGAAAATGTATATTATATTATATTATATATTATATACCTAAGGTTTTACCCTTTTAACAAACCCCAGTCCTGCTGTAACCGTGAACACTGGGCATCTTGTCTAAGCTTCAAAAGTAACATTCTGTTTTGTTTTATTTCAGATTCTCTCAGTCGTTTTCTCTGTTCATATGCTGTGGTGCTTTTCAGGAGCTCCAGGTCAGTTTCCCTACCAAGTTTTGTGGTCTGCCATGTTGTCCATTCTGCTCAGCTATTTAAAAAATGTTGAATATCAACAATGGCTTTCACTGGGGCATTGTCAACTTTTGTATGAAGCAATCTTGGCTGAATGCGATGGCTCCCAGTGCAGGGAGGGCTCGGCTCGGCGCTGCTGCGGAATGGAAGACTGCCGCTTGCCTGCCCTTCTCTCTCGTCTCGGCTCAAAGTGGCATGGTTTGAGAGTCTTACCCGGCTCTCTTCACCTAAACAGTCTTCAGGACCCTAAAGAAGCAGAGGGAAGGACTAAGAAGAACGGCTGAGCAATGGTGAGTGTCTTTCTGGAAAAATGCAGCTGTGGGCTGGAGTACATTTGGAGGGGGCGCTTGTTCAGGGGTGGGGGTGGGTGGATTTATTAGCATTTCACTTTAGACTGGAGGCTAAACAGACTGAAACTGTTTTTAGGATTTTACTTTTGACACAAAAAACATTAAGTTGTTTGTGAGACTTCTTGTTGTTCATCGGTGTCAAATTAAGTCATGAGCTGTCATTCTGTTAAGTCATTGTTTGTTAAAGCAGTCATTCTGCTTCAGTTCTGCATCATAAATTAATCATTGGATCATAGGTACTCCCTAAAGATTATTCATAACCATTGCCTTATTTAATCATCAGTCTTGAGTCTTTAGATTAAAAGACTTCCAATATTCAAAAACTCTGCAAAATTCTAATTTAGATTCATTTCTGGCTAAAAAAAATGAAAAAGAAAGTTTTGTTAAAAAGATGACACAAGTCCCTAAAGATATGGAGCAGTGCTCTGTCTGTGCTACATACGGTCTATACGTGATGTGTGTAGCTCTGAAAGGTAGTCGAATGTCTTTGTCAGGCTGTAATAGAGAGGAAGCAGTTAGCGTCTGCGATGTGTTCCCGCCAGTGCAACCGCAACAGCTTGTATCTGCCATTGATATGTCAGTTTTCAGGGCTTTGAGCTGTCAGCCCTACTGCGCCCTTCTCACCCCAGCAGAAATCAAGAGAGCGGAAGAAAGAGGGTGTTTGTGTGCAGGTTGGCAAACTGCCATATTAGTGGCAAACGAGAATGCATGATAAAAATAGAGAAAGGCAGTAATGCACATTTGCTCTCGAAGGACCTTTAAGTGAGTCATTTTAAGTACTGTTCAGTTTACAAAATAACTTGGTCCATCAGGACTTTCCTCCCTGCCGGGTCAAAACCATATTGTCAGAACAACTAAAGTAATGAGTCTTAATAAATAAGTACAAAGATGTTGGTGGACTAAACCTATGATATTATTTTTCAGGAGTAGCTATAATTGTGAACATTAGGGGCAGTGCACTATGTAGTGTCCACCTATGAGGGTCCGGTGTAGTCCTCTGTGTCTCCTCTGTGTATCTCTCTGCCAAGGTGAATAGATTCATCCCCAGGCACCCAATCCATTATCCTGTCAACAACAGCAGGTCCCTGCCACAGTTAGCAGCAACACTGGCCGTAATGAAATCATCAGTAATCCCAAAACTCATCTCATCATACCCAAGGTAATTAATGCATTTGGAGGGCGATGGCTAACTCTTAATTAAATTATGCTTCTTTTAATGAGGCCTTTATGTAGGGTAAATTTATGGCCAGTATCTCCATTATCAAGTGCTCGGCGCTCAACAGAGATTCGTCATTTTCACCTCAAATCACTCGCAGATTAACGTAATGAAGGCCATGATTAATATATCAATTTATACTTGTTTGTTTCTTTCCTCCAGATTTAATAAATTACCCCGCGTAATTAGTTCTTCAGGATTTTGCCACAGCCAAAAACCTCAGTTCTGGCTAATAATGCATAAAGTATTATCGTTACGTATTAATTTTAGAATAATTTGGAGATAACAACTTTGTGGCATTAATCATATTACAAAATTGGGCGTATTTAATTAATTAAAGATATACCCTGCAAATTAATTGTGCATTTTCACAATATTATCTTAACTAATGAAGGTCTGACGAAGCGACCGTTTCATTTTTAAAAGGCACCAGATTAGTGGGATCTTAATTATGTTTAAAACAAAAGCCATCTGCTTGCCACATTTGGTGCAAAGCAAAATCAGACAACTCAGCATTCTCTGCTAAACAAAAAAAGAGAAAGTTTCTATTGTTTTGGAGAAACTGTAGTACATGGAAATGATTCAAAAGATACATGGGAAATAATGAGGTCTGTAATTAGCCTTGCAGCCAATGATGGCATTTCAGTGATGGCAAATCTGATCCATTTCTGCAAGTCTGACTGACAAAAGACAACATGGAGTTAAAAAAAATGCTTTTTGTGTATTTTGCTTAGGATGTGATATTTATATGGAACTTTAAAAAATGTAAATGTAAGCTTTTCATTTTACTAATTATATTTATTTATTCTTTTCTAGTGTTTTGAAAAAATTCAGCTCTAGGCATGACACCCTAATCGTTTGTCTGACAGGCACTTATCCTAGAGACATTATAAACATTATCACATTGCTGATGTGCAGGAGACAGAGATACCGCTTTAACACAATGAGAAATTCCTTCACAGATACATTTAGCTAAAGCTAATAACACCTCCAAACTCAAAGACAATTGCTCGTGCTGTTAGAATTTGCTCAGTGATTTAATCAAAACCATATTTATAGTAATTTTCTGCTAAATTAAATCAGCGGTTTAATTGAAATTAGCTTTCATTGGGTTAGAATAAATGCAGTTAAAACTATTTTCATTTAACGCATCATGTACTAAATGTGGCTTTATTAATGTTTCACTTAAAATTTTCCTCCTGAAAGTTAAAGATATTGTAGAAAAATGTTGTCATTGGGGAGCAAATAGGGACTGTGTATTCAGACCATGTGCTGCATGTCTTAATGTCCCTGCAGATGATGTGTGCACATTACCTTCATGCTGCATTAGATCAGAAGTCCTATTCATCACTGACTGGGCTAAAGAGATTCTCAAATATACCTTTTTTTCTTCTTTTGCAACATACTTCTCTGTACTGTGTGCTTACTGTGAAAATGATTGTATTCCTTGTAAATATATATATATATATATATAAGTGGCATAAATTTGAGCAATTTAAAAAGTCGAAAAGAAAACAAAACACACATCTGTTTGTATTTGTACGCAGTGCACTTTAGGCAGTCATGCCTTGCTTCTAGTAAATAAAGACATTCATTTAATGTGCAAAAAAGCCTACCACAATTAGGTGTGAATAGATAGTTTTGTGTTGTTTGTGAGGTACTTGATAATATTAGTTCTGTAACAAACAGGACTAAACCAGGGCAATAAAATCACTTAACTGAGATGGTACAAGAATGCCATTTGCATCATTGGATTTTCTTATATATATCCTTTTATATCTAGTGTGTGATGGACATGTAATTTCTTTTTTTTCAGGTGCAAGTGCTTATCTTTTCTCGGACTGTATGATACCATGACAAAACAGTTAAACAACAGGCTGTGGACATCAGTGGAAGACACAGGCTGTATAGTCTTCAACAGCCTAGTACATTTGCCTGCAGGTAATGGAATCTGACTTACCTTTAATGGTGAAGAAACTCAAAGAAATGGATATATGGATTATCAGTGAGAAAACTTGTTTCATTTTTACACAGTCAAATGCTGAAACCATTTCATTTCAGCTCTATTTTTCAGTTCCTGTATTATATAAAAAAAACTCAAACTCCTGTTTTTAATTTAATTTCCCAGCGAATGATTATTTTTTTGTTTTGTTTTGTTTTTGACAAACATGATCATTTGATTGATTTAGATGGCTAACTGAAAATTAATTCGTCTAACGCATTCGAGTATAGTGGCTTTGAGTCCCACATGTTATTCAATCGATTCAATTGAGTAAAAGAGCTTAAGCGCGGTTTACAAACTTGCTGAGGATGGACAGTGTCTTGTAATATTTATCTATTTAAAGCCGGTTTATCATTACATCTTTTATGATTTATATAGTTTGTTTCGATTGCAAAAATGTTGAGAATTAACTTTTTTTTTTATTTTAACGGATTTTTCTTTGAATAAATCCTTTATAAGGAAAAAGGTGTAGCCTAATTTGACATCGACAAGTAGCACGTTTTTTTTTATTTTTTATTTTTTACGTATTAGTAACTCAAAATACCTAAAATAAATTAAAGTAAAATAAGTTAGGTGAAAAATAGCGTTGCCCTTTTTAAATAGGCTAAATCAGTTTTAGCACTGCTGGTTTAATTTTAAAGAGCGAACTCATATGCTTCAGGTTAAAAACAGGATATCATTCCAATAGTTCGCAGTGACATCTGAAAGAAGGTCAGATTCATGCCTCTTTTCTTTAATTGACCAGTGAATATTATTTTACTAGTGTCAGAACCAGAGGGGACGCAACCATTCAGCAAAATACAATAGGAATAACAGACCGTGCTGAAAATGCATCTTCATTTGCATATTCGGTTCAAAAATCATGCAAATCCCAATGAGACGGTCTTTATTGTGCCTGCAATTGAAAAATCATTCTGTTAACCATGGTAACTCTGGCCTTATTCGTAGCCAGTGAGTTGAAACTAAAAGTTATTAATTCATACGGTATGACGTTTAAATGGACTCCATGTCATGGTTAATGGTTCGGCGACAAATATTTGATCTCATAAATGGGAGGTGATTATTAAATTATTATTTAGGAATTATAGTATTATAGTTACTGTGCTGTTCATATTTTGTTAGACATAATATGTAGGCCTAATATTATAGCTTTTTCCTAAATGTAGCTATTATTCACTAATTCACTAACTAATCGGAATGTTTATATATCCTTCATATAAATGTTATCTTATGTTTTTTCTTTTTAAGTAAAGTATACAAACAGTAAAAAAAAGTATTCCTGTGTAGGCTACATAAATGACAAACAATGCCTCTTTACAGCTCATAAAAATAATTTAAAATATTTAGAGTTTTCCCACATAATTGTGGCTCTTGCTATTGTATCTCAAAGCGGGTGTCGCGTGCAAGATTATTGACCTAGCCTATACCAAGTTCACTTAATTTAACTTTGTAGAGCGCGGACAACACCTGATTATACCCTTATTAGACTCGAAAACCTGTCTTTTTTTCAGGCTCTGCGTGCGTTTTGCTATAATTGACTTCCACTTTAATTGTTTAGGTCGAACTAATTAACTACACTGTCAAATGCTGAAACCACTTGATTTCAGCTCTATTTTTCATTTTCTGTATAAAAAAAAATCTGTCTTAAATTCGCTGGGAAATTAAATTAAAAACAGGAATCACATGTTGCAGGTGAAACTCGTTGAGAAATGTAAACTGCGAAATGAAAGTTTTTTTAATAATTATTTTTGACAAACAGGATCATGGATCAGGATAATTTATATGGCTAACTGAAAATAAATGTTTCTGACGTATTCGAGCATTAGTGACATTGAGTCCCATTTTTATTCAATCGGTTATCCTAGGTTATCATCTGCAGGTGACTGAGCAAAAGTGCTTAAGCGCACTTTACAAACTTGCTGAGAATGGACAATGTCTTGTAATATTTCTCTATTTAAAGCTGGTTTATAATTAAATATTTATTATTCATATAGTTTGTTTCGATTGCAACATTGAAATGCGCCTATTAATCAACGTTTTTTAAATAAATCAATCCGTTAGATAAATAGCCTAAGGAAAAATGCGTAACATGACATCGACAACTAGCACGCTTTTCACGTATTAGTGACTCAAAATACCTAAAATAAATTAAAGTAAAATAAGTTAGGTGAAAAATAGCGTTGCCCTTTTTAAATAGGCTAAATCAGTTTTAGCACTGCTGGTTTAATTTTAAAGAGCGAACTCATATGCTTCAGGTTAAAAACAGGATATCATTCCAATAGTTCGCAGTGACATCTGAAAGAAGGTCAAATTCATGCCTCTTTTCTTTAATTGACCAGTGAATATTATTTTACTAGTGTCAGAACCAGAGGGGACGCAACCATTCAGCAAAATACAATAGGAATAACAGACCGTGCTGAAAATGCATCTTCATTTGCATATTCGGTTCAAAAATCATGCAAATCCCAATGAGACGGTCTTTATTGTGCCTGCAATTGAAAAATCATTCTGTTAACCATGGTAACTCTGGCCTTATTCGTAGCCAGTGAGTTGAAACTAAAAGTTATTAATTCATACGGTATGACGTTTAAATGGACTCCATGTCATGGTTAATGGTTCGGCGACAAATATTTGATCTCATAAATGGGAGGTGATTATTAAATTATTATTTAGGAATTATAGTATTATAGTTACTGTGCTGTTCATATTTTGTTAGACATAATATGTAGGCCTAATATTATAGCTTTTTCCTAAATGTAGCTATTATTCACTAATTCACTAACTAATCGGAATGTTTATATATCCTTCATATAAATGTTATCTTATGTTTTTTCTTTTTAAGTAAAGTATACAAACAGTAAAAAAAAGTATTCCTGTGTAGGCTACATAAATGACAAACAATGCCTCTTTACAGCTCATAAAAATAATTTAAAATATTTAGAGTTTTCCCACATAATTGTGGCTCTTGCTATTGTATCTCAAAGCGGGTGTCGCGTGCAAGATTATTGACCTAGCCTATACCAAGTTCACTTATTTAACTTTGTAGAGCGCGGACAACACCTGATTATACCCTTATTAGACTCGAAAACCTGTCTTTTTTCAGGCTCTGCGTGCGTTTTGCTATAATTGACTTCCACTTTAATTGTTTAGGTCGAACTAATTAACAAGTGAATCCACGGGCTCGAAAAAAGGGCTTTAAACGGTGATAAAGAATAGTGGTGATTTATTGTTAGGATATTGTTGGTCTCTCAATAGTTCATCACGACAGAACAAGTTGTTAAAACGTTCAGCTAATAAAAATCTTGCATCCTACATTTCACAGCTCGAACGTGTGACCTATAAATCAGTAACCAACTGATATTTATTAATTTTCCATCTCATGTTTTTAATGGCACGGATAAATAATTTTATGTTTGCATTTACGTTTTTTTTACGGTAATTAACACACATTGTCCTCCTTAATGTATTTATCTGCTGCACAGTGACAGTTTTTAATCTAGCCTATTCGGGTAATTTGAACAGTCGCTGCTTATTGCACACTATAATGGACAATTCACTGCTCGGCCATCATATACACGTGAGTGATTTTCGGAAGCCCTGTGGCTCGGAGCTCAATGATGTTGAACACTGCAGGCTTTCCTGGTGGTCCTCGGCCTTAGCTCACGCTAATTAGGAAATTTGGAGAACAGAAGCCCTCATTACCAAGCTCCGGGTAACTGGGAGTTTTCCTTTTCCCGTTGTCTCCTACATTTCCATAAGCAGATTACAAGAGGATATGTTCCTGAAACCACTCGGATAAGTCACCGGTTTCGTGGAATAGGCTAAGTCTCTAATTAGAACGTTTATCATAACGGCTGGTGCACCGCTAATGTAAAGTGAGTGTCTAATTGATGTTCCAAATGACAAATTTACTTTTTTTTGCCTCCCGTGAAAACGACGGGAAAAGATCCACTTTTTCCAGTTGTTTTTGAAGATAGTGTCGGTTATTTATTCTCTATGAAAAGTAGAAATGTTTTTCATTTGTCACTGAAAATTAGGTTGTTTCTAGCCACAAATAGAAGGCTATAAGCTACAATTAGTGTTTTATTTGACGTAACAAATTAACGTGACTAGTGTCAGAGAAAATACTGCCAAAATAAAGTGTATCCTGTTTCAATAATTGGGCAATGATTTATTTTTGTTCCCTCTATATTATCAATAGCCTAACCAGATCATTCTTTCAAATCGCCCTATAATGAAATTCTATGATGAATAATTTATGCCCTGCTTTACAATTGGAAACCTCTGGCCTGAATGACATCCTCGAGTGACAACACTGGCACTTGTTAAGAGTAGTTTGGAAAGTAGGCTAGCTGTCCTGTTGGTGTCCCAAATGTCCTACAAATCGGTCACACACGGTGAAACTTCTCTAAATGGCCGAGTCGTTAGTGTGTGGTGTTAAAAGTTCATCGTGAATATTCAGTGGTGTAATCGGTCTTAGTGGCGTTGAATGTGTTAAATGACGATGTTCTCGATGGACGACCTCCTAATACTGACCCATTGAAAGGTGTAAGTTCTCCCCGGGAGACAGAAAAGCTCTCAAAAGTGAACACGTCTCGAGTCATCTGTAAATCACATAATAAGACGCGGAATGATTGCAATCGACAGTGATTGGTGGTGTATAATTAAATAATTAACATAGGCTATACTCCACATTGGCGTGGCAGCTGTAAAAATTCGTTTTTAGAGGAGTTGTTTGTAGATATTATCACCTCATCGGAATTTTTTTTTTGCGTCAGAACAATATAAAATTGGTCCACAGGGGGGCGTTACTGTATTAATTTTCTATTCTACACTACAGGTTGTCGTGGACACTTGACAAAAACACGAAGTGTATTTTTAAAACAAAACTATTTTTGTTGAATGTTTGTTTTTACACAGTTATAATGTTATAGTGTAATAATAAGTTATTGAGCTGTCAAATGAAATTTAGAAAATATTAGGAGACAAAGAATGTAAATAATTTGCTTGATGTTAAGCTACTTTTAATCAATGTCAGTTTTAAAAGCTTAAATTCCCACCGTCTAATTTTGTAGCAGATTATCTTATTTAAGAATAATACTACTAATAATTAAAATCTTATATTAATGGTGAAGTAAGCCAAGGCAAAAAGGTTCAATTTGATGTAGCCAACCAAAAGTAAAACCAAGTTTTTGCATTAGTGGATACAAGATTGTCCCATGTATTAAAAAAAAAAAAAAAAAACCTTTTAATTTAATTATTTGTTTAATTAATGATTAATTAATAATCATAATTAATGATTATTGTTGTGCCTTTGTCGTGCCATTGCTAGAGGCAAAGTTTATAGTTTAAATATTTATGTTTGAATACAATAAGTAGGATCTATCCTGATTCTTGCCTTTATTTTATGCAATAAATTTAAACATGCTTTTTTCCCCTTTAGTTGTATTACATTGAGCAGTTTCTGCATTTTCCGGGGGAACATTTGAAATCCATAATATTTAACGCATTCAGTAGCCTACCGCAAAAGTAGTGTAAGGCTAACATTCTCAGTTGATAACGACCGCCTTAAAACAATATTTGCAAAGTGATTACTTTTGTCAAAAGTGCAAAGATGCCCCTGACGTATTTTATCCCACTTGGAAAGTGCAGCCCGAAACACATGCTTGGATGGCGGAGTGTGAGTCGCTCTCTGATTGGTCGGCGCTGAGCTCATTGTTATGCTGTCAATCCAAATCACATGGCCGAGCCTCTATTAACAGCTGAGCTTAGCGCACAACTTTGCAGAGTTCCGTGGCAGAGCAGAGCAAGGGACTGGTGTGGAGACAGTTGAAAGGGTTCGGTGCTTTTCACTTGACCAGAGTTTTAGCTCTCTTGAACTTTTGACTGACTACAGGCTACTTTATTTTGTGAGGCTCTTTAAACTTCAGCGTTTTTTTTCGAGTGCTCGGCACCACTTTCAAGTCGTTTGAATGTATAACATGATGGAAACCGAGATTAAAAGCCCCCTTCCGCAGTCCAACACGGGCTCGGCGGCGGGCGGCAAAAACAACAATTCCAACGACCTGGACCGGGTGAAGCGGCCTATGAATGCTTTCATGGTGTGGTCTCGCGGGCAGCGGAGGAAGATGGCACAAGAGAACCCTAAAATGCACAACTCTGAGATCAGCAAGCGCCTCGGTGCTGACTGGAAACTTTTGACTGACACCGAGAAGAGACCCTTCATTGATGAGGCCAAGCGGTTACGAGCCATGCACATGAAGGAGCACCCGGATTACAAATACCGTCCCCGCAGGAAGACCAAGACCCTGCTGAAGAAAGACAAGTATTCCTTGCCCGGAGGACTCTTGGCACCTGGTGCCAACGCTGTCAACAACGCCGTGTCAGTGGGCCAGCGGATGGACTACACGCACATGAACGGCTGGACGAACAGCGCGTACTCCCTCATGCAGGACCAGCTGGCCTACCCTCAGCATCCCAGCATGAACAGCCACCAGATCCAGCAGATGCACCGGTACGACATGGCGGGACTTCAGTACCCGATGATGTCCACGGCCCAGACCTACATGAACGCCGCGTCCACGTACAGCAGCATGTCACCAGCATACACACAGCAAACTTCCAGTGCAATGGGTTTGGGCTCCATGGCTTCAGTGTGCAAGACGGAACCCAGCTCTCCTCCTCCGGCCATAACCTCTCACTCTCAGCGTGCTTGTTTGGGAGACCTGAGGGATATGATAAGCATGTACCTGCCCCCCGGAGGAGACAGCGCCGACCACTCCAGCTTACAGAGCAGTCGGTTACACAGCGTTCACCCGCACTATCAAAGCGCAGGGACTGGCGTGAACGGCCTACCCTCAGCATCCCAGCATGAACAGCCACCAGATCCAGCAGATGCACCGGTACGACATGGCGGGACTTCAGTACCCGATGATGTCCACGGCCCAGACCTACATGAACGCCGCGTCCACGTACAGCAGCATGTCACCAGCATACACACAGCAAACTTCCAGTGCAATGGGTTTGGGCTCCATGGCTTCAGTGTGCAAGACGGAACCCAGCTCTCCTCCTCCGGCCATAACCTCTCACTCTCAGCGTGCTTGTTTGGGAGACCTGAGGGATATGATAAGCATGTACCTGCCCCCCGGAGGAGACAGCGCCGACCACTCCAGCCTACAGAGCAGTCGGTTACACAGCGTTCACCCGCACTATCAAAGCGCAGGGACTGGCGTGAACGGAACGCTACCCCTAACCCACATTTGAAAGACTCCTAAAAAAGACTAAGTACTTCGGATACTTGAACATTTTGATTTGCAAAAAAAGAATAGAAGTTCAATTTCTATTTTTAATCTCAATGATTTGTCCGTTTTAAAGCATTTTATGACGACATATCGGGGACTTCAGAATAAACTGTATTGCAGAGGAGCTTTTTATCATAAGCTGTAAAGCAATCAACGTCTGTAGAAGAATACTACACTTCTGACTTATTTGCCGTCAGAGTTTGTCTCTATGAAAAAGGCATGGCTTCGTGAAGAGGCTGTATTTCAAAAACAAAAAAGAAAGAAAAATGGAGGGAGACTGTGTTCACTCATTAATGTTTACACTTATTTTTAGAATGCCAGTTTTGTCCAAATCTGTGTAGTTTTTTTGTTGTTCATTTATGAACTAGGTTTTATTAAAATTAAAGACTGCTGGTCGCAAGCGCAAAGTTTGTTTTATTTATAGTGAGTTGTTTTTTTTAAGCTTGTGAACCATTACATCTTGTTGAAATGTTCCACTTTTGTTTTGTGAATGTTCCTTTCTGTGATGTTATGGCAGTATCAGGTTAACCCATTATGTGGGACGGAGAGTTTTATTTAAACTGACGTTTCGACTCGAGACCATCCTATTCCTAAATGAATAAATTTGTTTTACAAAAAAGCTTCATGGCTAGAAATGTTTTTTCTTCTTCTTTTTATTCTATGACTAGTTTGGTTATTTGAATCGTCTAGCGGAAAACTAGTGACAGATTTAGTCAAATTCGCTTTAAGCCGATTGAGGTAATTTGAGGCGATCGGTTAAATGAAGAGTAGCTAAATAAGCGAATTCAGACACGCTCGCTACCAAGCAGATGTCAACACCCGTGGGTTGTTATTAAACTTTCTCATCAAACAGAACATTTATTTGTGCCTTTCAAATGCCAGTAAATGCAATCGGTCTGTAAATAAATAAAATATCATTCTGAAACTTCATTAATCTCGCCCAAATTCCGGATGCCTTTCTCCCGAAAGTATCAAATGGTGTCTATAAGGCTATAACTTTAGTCCTGATAGCCTACTACCAGCCATAAAAATGAAACTTTTCGCAAGATGAGACAGTTCTCCTTTGCAAGAATATGCAACACATAAAAACAACCAAACAATAAATCGTAAATGCTTCAATGTAACAAAATATTTTTTACTTCACATGATCTGTCATGCATATATTTTTCAAACGGTGTAATTTCCTCCTGCGTTTTCACTTGTTGAGTCGTCGAAGTACATACAGTTCCTCAAAATTATTTTGTATAATTATGGTTAACTGTAAATATCTTTAATCCTTTGGATTTGTGAAAACAAGACGATGATACATTCTGATAATTACGTTCATAATAAGTGATTAATGCATGGATTATTTAATTGCTATTTCACTTTGAACTACTAAATTGTGGCCGGATTTTTTCGGGGTCAGATGGAGGTTAAATATTTGCTGTACATTATTTAGTGATTTGAATATCACACAATATTGTATTTTGGTCTGTGTGTCAAGGGACCATTTTTACCATATATTTCTTGTTGTAGTTAGCCAAGCAAAGGAGGCACATACAAGGCCATTACAGACTGCCTCTTGTAATTTAGGGTGTCATTTCCACTACTGAGTTCTCAATATATATTATGTATAATAGCCTATACTCTATGTATTGTGTAACATACACTTGTAAAAATAAAGATTCTTTAATGACTCTTAACAACATCATTGGTTCAAAAAAACAACAACACTTCTAATAAAGATGCAAAGATGCACTCTTCTTATAATGATGCATTTTGGCTGTTTATGTTTTTTTTATGTTTTAGAAACATTTAGAATGTTAATCTTAATTATATACTGTATATTGTATATATTTATTTATTTTTTGGATTAACATTCTAAATGTTTCTAAAATTATAGTTCTGTAAATAAAATCATACTTTTGTAAATAACTAGGCTACTAAAAAGCTTTCAATGATAGCTACCTGAAGGTTTCCTGTGACAACAGACAAAAACTCTAATTGGAACCTTAACTTTTTTAGAACCTCTGATGATTTTCCGACATAAGATTTTGAATTGAGCAATTTTCTTTTAGCTCAGATGCTTTGTTTAACTTGTTTTTGAAATATCACTTGTTCATCCACGTTCAACAACTATCCGTTCTGAGCACCTCACATTTTCCGAGACCAAATCAACCCACTGATTTAAATTTTGAATCACTTAAAACAGCTTAACAGTAAAAACTGTCAGGACGTATTGCATTATAAATACTATCTGTATTTTTACAGTTATTTTAAACCCTACACACTTTAATCTCAGCCATTTATATTTTTACTTAAATTCTCAAGTAAGATATTTTTTATTTAGGGAATACTTTAAGAACTCAAATTCTGCTGTTACTAGTAATTTTGGCATGCAGCAATATGAAATGATATTTTTGAATGATATTGTCACACTTAGTGTGCAACAGAATTTCACAATATTGGTACACTTGACAGCTTTACAGCATGGGATGAGTTTCACGGCATCCTAGGTCATTTATTCCACTGAGCTGTTGAGTGCATGTGCTGGCTGCTGTCTTTCCCACATTCACTGACAGGTTTGATCCATGCCTCATTGGTGTGCTTGGATTAGCCCTGTGCAACTCTATGGATGCCAACAGATTAAACAGACCTCCCTGAAAGTAGTAGTGTGTTTGAGACAGCCTTTCAGGTTATCATGCTTCCTAATGCTAAAAAAACAAACAAAAACAACTTTTTTAATTAGAGCAACTATGGCAGATGCAGTGGTGAATTTGTTGCATATGTCTGATATGAATGGCATGCTGGGTACCAGATTTTTTTTTTTTTGACATCTACAGTGACAATATTAATATATTTAATTGCCAGTTAAAAGGAAGACATTTATTTAAACTCATGAGTGAAGCTGTACTGATAGCAGAATACATTATATCCCAGGCACAGAGTGGGCCTCTCTCTCTCTCTCACTTGCTCGCTCGGTCATGTGTAGCACTGTGCCCACTCAGCAAGTGCAGGCATATCCCACTTCCATCTGCTTATGACCTCACTGGAGCTATTTGTTTAACTCTTTTTCCAAACCAACATAATTGCACGGTACTGCAATCATGCATGCTGGATTCGGAGTTAGCATTAGAGACAGAAATATTTCTCACTTTCTTTCTGCCTATGGGTAATTCTTTTTTTTATATATTATTCCTACCTTCTACCTTCCTTTGTTTCTGACTGTTCTGATTATTCCTGACATATTTGAATACATGTGCCAATCTAAGATGAAAAACGAAGCACTAGTCCTGTATTAATTTCATTCACTGAACCTGCCCGGCAACTCTCATTGCGAACTCATCATTCCAAATCTCTAGGTGTTTTTTTTTTCTTCAGTATTCCTGTTCATGAACATACACAGATTGCAGTACATCAGTTGAAAAAAATGGGTGTGTTTGAAAAATAAACTGAACAGGCTCTGTGGTATTTCAATGGTGCCAGACTGGACTTGCTGTGGCGTTGTGTACTAAAAACAGAATATCCTAGTATTGATTAGCAGGCTGGCTCAAGGCATTGCTGTTGGGCCTGTCCACTGGAGTGAGACTCATATGGGCTGTGGGGACGGACTGGAGTTGAGGTGTGGGGGTGAGTTAATCTCCCTGAACTGGGGCAGATGTTGTTGACGAGCCCCTATTAGATCAGCTAAAATGGCCGTGGGAAAATGGCATCCAATCCTTACGGGGTCAGGACTTTGAGCTGACCCTCACGGTCTCTTCCTACCTCAGAGAGCTGTCCATTCTCCTGCACTTCTATCTAAGAGACAGGCTCACCTCTCCTGCCTATGTCCATTGTCTCGTGCTACTATTGTATGTTTGCTGTTCTTGTACACGTAAACCTAACCTCTTCCTCTTCTTGCAGCACGTGTCACGATTTTGGTTCCTCTCTGTGTTTTATGTTCATGTATTAAATGTGTTGATGCCTTGTTCACTTTAGTTTCACTTTTCTCTTTAGTTTACATCAGTCTCAATATCATTTTACTCCATTATTTGCCCCCAACACTCTTAAAAATAGGTTCCAAATTGTTTTTTTTGTTTTTTTTTCGCAGTGATGCCATTTTGGGTTCCCCAAAGAACCTTTCATGGAACAGATCTTAAAAGAACAATTTTTTCAACTTCTTAATAATCTGAAGAACATTTTTTTCACTGTAACAAACCTTTTATACAATGGAAAGTTTCCACAAAGGTTCTTCATGGAACCATCAATGCCAATAAAGAACCTTCATTTTTAAGTGAAGAAACTCCAAAACAGTCAGTCATTTGGAATGTGAATGTCATTTTTTTATATGTGTAAATCAGATCAGGTCATACATTTTAAATATGAGCAGTTTCAGTATTATTTGACATTTAAAGATAATTACAAATAATGTCTAGGTGAATGTGCCAACTTGCTTCTCTTCTCCAATGATTCTGATGTTTGTTGGTAATTATAGCCATGGTTGAATCTCCATGGCATTACACAACCACAAAGAATGTAGAGTGGGAGGTTTAAAGGGCGGTTGCCGCTCCAATTCAGGCTTGGCCCTGCAGTCCAGGTGCAAGTGACTTGCATTGAAGTCAACATAAAGTAAATAATTCTAATTAATAGAATCCTAACATAAAGGGTCTGATTCTTATGGAAAGGCTGTGGCTATATAGAGGAAAGAGCAGTTTAAACTTTTAGTAGGTGATATTGTGTTGTAATTTGATCTGTGTCAAAAACTTTTAAGTATTGTTTCACCATGCCAATCTTTAGACCCCCTACCTTCATGCATATGTATGTAAAATATGTAATATTCTGTAGAGGTTTAGGTTGTTTAGGCCAATATCCAGAAATTCCATTTCTATGTTCCATAAATTGCTGTCAGCACAGTTCCCACAGCTAATCACCAGTTACAATAAAACTTTAACCTTTCTCTGGTGCAACCAGTCAAGGCCACCCTTCGTTTATGTTAAACGCTGCACATTTGTAGTATTTGGGATAGAGTTTATTCATTGAATGATTCCCTGGAGCTTCTGTTGTCAATCACTCTGAGAAGTGGTGGCCTGAAGGGGAATTAGTCATTATGATATTTCAGTGAAACCCCTCGTAGAGCCGTGGAGCCTTAACTGAGAGTATGGAAATTTCCCTGAATGTGGAACTACCCTGCCCTTAACGTCTGCACTGCTCTCTTGGGTGGAGCAGGTGCAGTGAGTTTCTCTGACGCAGGATGGAAACAGGTTTTAGGGTGCCTGTCTTTAACCCAGCCTCTCCAAGATAGAATTGGGTGGAGTATGAGTGACACTAGGGCAGATGGCACCGTTTTAGGGACATATCAACCAAGAGAAAAATGTCAGAGGTTGTCTTTCAGAGTTTATTTTATTCAGCCTGATCTCATCAGAAAACTATTTTATGAGCTGGCAATTTCATATGAATTTGTACAGTGTGATTTGCATTGAAAAGTGCTATTTTTTTAGAAAAAAAAGTAATGATGAATGTCCTAACCTGTAAGCAGATTGTATGAATTCATATGAATTAGCCACCATTTCACCAAAACATAAAGCCGTTTTGAATTGCCATGAGAGTGGGTTGGTTTTATTTGAGTATCAACTTCTCAACCGTCTCAGATATTTCTCC